TGTCTACAGTCGTGCTGAAGCTACAAGAGTAGGTGGCTATCATCCGGCTACTTCGTCATTGCCTGCTTAAGTATGCTTTCTAGTATTATATAGCAAGTGCAGATTAGACTGGCAGGTTGCTAATTTTTGTCATTTGTTATAGTCCCTCCTCGCATATCCGGTAGATATTTGCTGTATTCCATTTGAATGGCAGTCCCTCTAAATCAAATGAAGAATGGAATTTATGTGCTAGTGGTTTGGAAGGTTTGTTTGCCATTTTTTAAGAACTTGGCTGGATTCGATGACTTTGCTGCTCTACTATTCTACAGCTCTCTTTCCCCGAGAGATGCCGGGAAGATTATGAATTCAAGCACGGAGTCAGCGTTTACAAAAGCACAGTTGGAACCGTAAGTCGGAAACTCAGTTTTCCTGGTGAATACCGAGACAAAGAACCAACCCATTGTTTAACTTTCGCAGTTTTCAGGGACTTCTATTACATTATCATCTCTAAGTACTGCAACCAGGCCCGTTTTTCAGTCGGCTGTTAATACAGAGCAATAAAATCTTGGAATTTTATGTAGACCATCAGGCAGTTCTGGATTTGTAGTTTGTTCTTGCCTGACGGATCTTTTTTGACCGCATTTCGTTGGCGAAGAAAGTCCTTGATGCGCTTTGGCTCCCCAATTCCCCTGAATATCCGCCATTTTTACTTAACTGCCTGTCAGGGTTTCTTGTTAACCCGTCGGAGCGACTGATCGTTTATTTACCCCTATTGGACAACAGCGCCGATTCAGATCTAATAAAAATGGTCTAAAACGGTCTTCAGTCATCATCTGGATCCCTCTTAAGTAAACGGTCCCTATTCACGGATGTCGATTCGTTCTTCATCATGCTAGTCAGTTTAGGTCAGTTTATTAAGGGAATGAGGCCTTCGCCCTCGAGCTCCCTATTCATATCGATAAACAGAAATAGCGTCAACAATTACATCCGCAAATGCGGAAATCCAAAAGTTAACCGTAAGTGTGAGCCAGGCGCAGACTGCCGCCGCCAAAACAATCGTGATTATATGTACAGTAGTTTCTCAGCAAATGAGCATCTAGTATACACTTAAAAGAACCGACAGTTTCGGAAATAACCACCGCATCAAGGAGTCCGTTTCATGCCCCCATGACCCTGTGAGAGAAGCGTTACGTCGGACGTCCGAACGAGCCAGCTTTCTCTGCATTTTGAAGGGATGACCAAGCAGACTGTCAACCCCAGACAATTTGAAGAATTCATCAAAGTCTGTGTCGCATTCACGGCCTCTGACAATCCTGTAGGCTTGAATGAGATCGCCGCACGGTTGTCTGTAATTGAGAGGAACCAGATTTAGTTCGGTCAGCCTGGGTTCGTAAGGCAGATTTAATTTAATTTAATTTATTAAATGCCAGTTTACGGGCATTGTCAAGGGAAGCGATTAAACACAAATCCAACCAGCAGTGAAAAAAAAACTCCTGAAGAATAAAAATATAGTTGATGATGGTTTTTGTGGTTTGGAGGGTTCAGGAGAAAAAAAACTGCTGGCGGCATAGATTCGACCGTCAAGAAGGGG